GCAAGTAGGAAACTAGACAAATTGCTGGTGCTAAAGAAATAGATGTTCTAATTAAAAACGAATTTCTGAAATGCGACTATACGCTACTCTAGATTATGTAGAGACTCTAAATGTTATCTTAATTTCATACGTTAACTGCTAACTTCACAAAAAACTGTTCTTGTGGCACATCCTTGTTGATCTAAATGTTTTAAACTTTAACGTTCGTCCTATTTGTAAATAACACGATAACGGTTACAGTCATCATGACCTTGTTTGCACCATCTTACTTTATAACAAACCTCAAAAGTCTGTCAACATACCGATTATGGTTATAGTTACGGTTAGGTACTCAGCCTTGTTGTTCGATAATGTAACGTTCTCCTAACTGAAATAAAAAAATACGAAACATACCTAGATTATGTAATTCTCAGGGGCCAAGATCAATTCTATATTTGACTCGTGGACCTCCAGTCGTATTAAAATAGTTACAACAAACGACTCACTTCCTCAGGGGGGACTCTGAAGACGATGTCCGTGTTTGAAATAGGCGTCCCTCTTACACATACAAAGAAGAGCATATGAATGATGGAGATAGGTGGTTTAAGATACGGAAACCAAGTTGCAGGGTAGGACACCATCTCTACTATGTCAGCAAATAAGCTAGACAACTCTGACCTCACTGCGAAAGGCGCTCTACATTTATGCAACACTAAAGCAAGCCAAAGCTATTAGGAAAATCTTTTCTTTAAAACAAAGTTATGAAAGCTGAATGAACCCTTTCTGGACACTGATGCGTCAATATGTCATCCCTCATAATTAAATTATTATAGTTAATTTTATAAACTTTTAGTGTAGTTATTTTCATAAAACTTTTTCAGGTAAACCGAAAATACCTAAGCTACTATGATTTTCTACATTATTAAGAGTTCGAGAACTTTAAATATACCTACATGTTCAACGTTTTTCAATTCGTAGGCGAAGGTTACTTATTAGTTAACAGTCAATTTTGGTACCTACAGTTAGCTAAGAATAGACTAAAGTATGACAGAGCCATGTAAATAATACTGTAATACTACACAATACAATTAACCTATTGTGTCCGAGGCTACAGGATACACGAATTAGTCAACTGTGTCCCACACGAATGTGCGATTCGATCACAACAACAGATTTACTTAGATAACGCAGGTATACAGAAAAATAACACCGGTTCCGAAAAATACTGATAACTAGTACAAAAAATCGTTATTGGTAGTCGTAGATAAAACATGTCTAAAAACTATCTGTACCTTCATTTTAAGCCAGAAATCATAGTTCGATGTCAATTAGGTAACAGATTTTTGTTGCTTTGAAATCAATTAGCAAAATCAAATGAGTTTTTTAACAACTGTAATTGTTACTGTAAAAGCTCGAATTGCAGTAAATCCTAAGATATTCCAGTAAAACCTAAGATCTACCAATTCCTAATGGTAAATGTCCCAAAAGGTTTGCGATTCGAACTCTTACCACCATTTCGTTGAATCTTAGTATTTATGTCGCAGTCAGATTGTATAATCCGCCGTTTTACATTACAGCTAGGCATTTTGGATTACAGCTCTGTTTTGTAATACGGCGGATTAGCGTTTAGCCGGATTGAATACGGCTGAATGAAAATCCGCCGGAATGTATTCGGCGCCAAACGTTCTTCAATACGGCTAGCCGTAATGTAAAACAGCGTGTCATTACCCGCCGCTTTGACAGTTTTTAGTTCCTATTTTCAATACCGTGGCGCTGCCGGACAAAGTGGCTATGAATTCTGGTCTTCGGCGGAATCCTACACAATATTATTAGTGTAAAAATATGAAATCATGGCTTTGGCCGGTGAAGATAATTTTATCTTAAAGAAAAATAACCCAGAAAAAATGACTAAAACTTTATTGTTTTGAGTTACCTGTTCCCTTTGATCATTTTTAATGTCTAAAAAAGACTAAAGCCAAATATCTAATTAATTCTTAAAATGTTTAGAAAAGTCTAATTGTTTTGAGTTACTTTTTTTTAGATGGCTATCCCTTGTGATTTATAAATAAGTAAAAAAAAATACATTATTTTATACAGTAACGAAGGTAATAATTCTTAAAATCTGTCTTATTAAAATTTATTTTCATTTAACATTGTTTTATTTTGTAAGTATGGTCACCCTACAATCTATAGTAGTACGATGCGGCTTAACGTGGGCCGCCGTATTGAAGAACGTATCGCAATGACAATCCGCCTAAACGTTGAACCGCCGTATTACAAAACAGAGCTGTAATGTAAAATGCCTAGTGGTAATGTAAAACGGCGGATTATACAATCCGACTGCGACATTTACATTAATGGCACGGTAAATGTTGAAAAACAAAACAAGCATTTTTGACAGGTAACAATCGGTCTTATCTACGCATTACACGAGCGCAGCCTTTTTGTATTGTTAATTTTTTTTTATCCACAACGAGGAAGCTCTTGGCCTGTATCTCACCTGATGGTAATGTGCGAACAATTTAAGAACTAAAAAGAAAGACCACGGCATCACTTTTCATTTCAATACAATTAAACAAACCATGATGTCACTGCCTTGTTTTTTCTTTAGCAACGTAAGATCATTTCATATAAAATACTAGCTTTTGCCCGCGGCTTCACCCGCGTGAAATTTAATTTGTCACAGATCGCCTTAAATTATTATAGCCTATATGTAATTCTGGGTTATAAACAATAATACTGTAAAGTTTCATCAAAATCAGTTCAGTAGTTTTTGCTTGAAAAAGTAACAAACATCCACACAAACTTTCGCGTTTATAATATTAGTAGGATGCTTGCAGTACAAAATTTCAGTGTCCTAGATAGGCTAGATATGATATTTACAGGTATGCGCTACTATCAATGCTGGGTTATTATAATTCTGATTTTTTCCACTTCACATTTCGTCCATGCCATGGACGAAATAACAAAAATGATAATACCATGGACTCCATGGTATAATCTTACTAATTAAAAGTTCTGTAGGTAAACTTTTACGAAAACAACATCGTTGGTAATGAGTCAGAAGGAATAAAAAAAGGAAACAGTAAAAATGTGAACACCAAAACACAAGAAAAAGAAATTATTGCAAATAATTTAAATAAGTTGGTATTACTTTGTACTTATTACTATCATATTGATACTGATACCTTTATAATACTATGTACCTGTTTTGTCTAATAGTTGATTAAAGTTAGTAATTAAGAATTACTCATTGTTTTATTCCTAAAACCAACATCTACCAGCTGACAGAGGTAAAACCTGGCATATACTGAATTCGAATGGTAAAAGCTCGAAAAAATCGTTGTATTTTCAGAAATACTTACATTTACCAACTCATGTCGGTAAATCCTAAGACTTACACTTAAATCTTAAGATTAACCGTAGTTCGAGCTTTTACAGTAACATAATCATCTTAAAACCTCCATTTGAATCTGGTTTAGAGAAAATCGTGCTCCTGCAGTGGCGACTAAATTACTTGATGATTATGATGCAAAATCTATGGGAAATCGCCATGGGCGCCGCCAGGATTACTCTTTCAGGGAGACATTTTCTTTTACATACATATTTAATTTCGAAAAACACTACCCTCACGTTGGTGCAGTCGGGTAACAATAGTTATGTAATTTTTTACTATTTAAAAGCTTGTAGAGCTGATGAAAAGTTTTCGAGTAGGTAATAAGGAAGGCCTCCCACTAGGTGGACCGACGATCTCATGATCAGCAGCAAGACTGGTCGTCGTGGAAATCCTTGGTGGAGGCCTTTGTACAGCAATGGACGAGATTTGCTAAAACTAACAAATGAATTTTGCTTCTTGAAGGGGGGTTCAAGTCCCCCCTACTGGCGCCCATGGGAATAAACATCTGATACCGCTACCCGTATCAGACCAGCGTATCACCAGGCAATAATGATACGCGTAGAGGCGATAATGATGATACGCGTCATCGATACGGTGATCGGATCGGGAAAATGTTACTTAACAGGACCCTGGCATGAAATGTGTCAATTTATTGGTAGTGTTAATTAAATCATAATTAAGGTAGTACATGTATACAGGTAATAAAGGATGTTTAATTAATTAAATAAAAAATGCTTGGCGATGCGTTAAATTATACTAACTATTGCAATCATTATTATAAAAATATCCGACATTACCTCCGATGTTAAATAATAGTTTCTTGAAAGCGACCTAGGGTTTGATTCCTATGTGAGATACGCAATCTGAAAATAAGTATTTTTGCCTTTAATTCGATAAAGCAGAATCGTAGGCAACCTATAGTATAAAAGTCTTAAAATAAATACAATTCAGAGCTTTTGAGGTGTACCTATGTTAAAAAAGCTCTGTTACATCATATACAACTGGTGGGCTGGATTAAAGATACAATCTAGGCTAGGCGATTTTTAATCTTAAATTAATAAATATGATGAAGTAGGTTGTGTGTTTTCACGGTATTTTAAAGTGACTTTCATGATACTTCTTTCGTTACAGTAGGTTAATATCAGCTAGTCACGTGTCTACTTTGAACACAGGAGTTAATATTCATGAATTGAAGTCACATATTATGGAGTTTACATTAGAGACGCTAATTTATTAAATAAGATGTACCTTAGGGTAATTTGCATTTTTTAATAAAATTTGCACTTTACGTCATAGGTATTTACTGCACTGGAAGAAATTGGAATAGATTCTAGCAATTAAAAATGTGCTGTTACACTGAAAATAATAGACAGAAAATTTGGTTTTAATCCAACTTTAATATTATTATTTGCAGTATATTTCAAGAAAAGCTGACGTTCTGCTATTAATCTTTTCAAAAGAAAAAAATATAGTTGATAAAAGATGCTTTCAAGCAATTGTTTCTAAATCTAAACGCCAATTTAGTTCCGCATCCGAATAAAACCAACAAAAAACTGACAATACAGCAACCATTTTCAATTAAATAGACTTTTAATCTGAGGTCCGAAGGTCGCAGACAGGCGGGAGCAAGGCCGTATCTCCGATGACACGCATGCGTGTTTCACAAACGCACTGCTCACATTATGCGGGAGAAATTACGGCTAGGTACGGATCGGGGTCAACTCACTGCGATTCGCATGTCACAGTACCAATTTTGGCTCCAACAATTCGCGGGTTGGACCGCTAAGCATCGGGGAGGCTTGCCAAAAATACAGCTGCACTGCAGTAGCGGCTTGGAGTGCAATGCGGCTCCCGCTCATTGTCATACGGGGAGGTCGATACCGACCAGTACCGCCTCGCCACCCGACGCGGTCGGACGTTACACGATATTGTTAACGCGCCGGTCAATCGCGCGACCTGCGAACACAAAACGCTTTTATTTATAAACAAATTCACGTTCCAATTGAAAAGGGTGATTGTTTTTGTGAATGTGTAGAGAAATACTAGCCACGTGAAAGCGCTCGGTTTGTGGATGTTACATAAACAGAGAATATTTGGCCATCAGTGAATGTAAAGGTCAGAATTTATCTTCTTTGAAATAAACATAAGATAAACTATTGGTGCAGTAAGATAAAAAATTTGCGGCTTCAAAAAATTTGCGTTTACACAGAAAATTATGAATGGTTAAATTGGCTATCTATTTATTGATTGTATAAAGACCGACGTAACATCAAGAGACAGCTTTTCGTTTGTGAGATGAATTGACGAATGACTTTGTTTTTTGTATAAAAATTGGTTCCTAATTAAATCAAGGGGTAAATATGACACATTCTCGTAATAAAGAAAAACTGAGTTCAACTTACAAATCTAATTAGGCGCTCGTAGACGACTCTACATAAGAACGTGAATTTATAAGATTCATGACAGAAACAATACTTACTAGAAAACACATTTAATACGGTCAAAAGCTGAAATTTTCCCTAATACATTTAATGGTTGCCATTATGTCTATGTACATATTAGGTGTTTACATAAAGTATATTTATTAACTTAGTTGACGCCCGCGACATCTTTCGCCGGAAGTGAATGAAGGTTGAGTAAAAGAATGAAGGTTTGAGTGAAAGAATGAAAACGCTTTTCATGTCACATTTATGAAAACATGAATTACAGCATCTATTTCATTCATAAACCAAAGTGTCATCAAAATCGGTTAAGTAAGTTTATACGTGAAAGCGAATTTCGTCAGTCTTCATAAACTTTCACGTGTTAGTGACATAATTCTTTAAATTATTTAAGTAACGATTCCGTTACATAAACCGTAAATAAACAATTAGACTAGTTTTAATAATTGGGCTAATAGGTTTTTGAACTATTAAGTAATCAGCAGCATGACAGTACCAATTACGTGGTTTGTAATTGCATTTTCTTCACCACTTTTTATAATAACACTTCTTCCCGCGGCATTTCTCGTGTAATTAATAAAATGTAGGCTTATTATTAAGCTTATTATTTATGCTTATTATAAGCATGTAAAGTAAATAAATATAAATATTATCTAGGTATTTAGGTAGATAGATAGATTACATACTTATAAGGTTTATTTGCAAAACACATTGACACACAATAAGCAAAAAGTAAGAGTACTTTAAACACAGGAATATCAAGAAAAAAAATTGATTTAAACATAAGAAAAACAAAAAACGACTGTCGATTGTTTTTGTCTATGATTTTGTTTTTAATTTCGTAGTCTCCGATAACTTATTCATCATTTTGACCTTGGAATTATTATTCTGCTAATGTCAAACCTACCAAACTACCTGCCTGATGATTATGCAAAATGTTATTTATAGCTGACATCTTGTTTAGTTGTAATAGGTACGAATATCAACAAAAATTTAGTCTTTATGTGGTAGAGTCTTTTCTAAAACACCTTTTAGATCTTAATTCCCATCTGTATCAATTTTTTCCTTCTTTACAAAGTGAAAATTAGATTAGATAAGTGAATATTCAATTCAATACCCCTGAAATATCAACGAAATTATGAATAGCAGGAACAGCATAGTATTTTCTACTGCCTACTTTGTCCTTAGTTTGGTCCTTCAGTTAACCGAAGGAAAATGTCAAATGTCTTATGGCATTAACTTTGCTTTTTTCAAGTTTTAATAAGTAAATATAAATTGTTAAAATGAAATGGCGAAAGTTATTATTTTTCCGGTTCTTTTATTTGCTAAAGAGGAAAAAAGATAAATGTCTTTTGGTGCTAATATGAGTATTCGGTATACTCTACCTATCCATTATCATAACTGTAATAGTGTGTGCGTTAAAATTGAACGAGCTTTTCGCGTGATATCATTAATCGAATAACGTTCCTTTTCAACCAATAATAAGCGAAACTGATACCGTACGGTAAATCACTTTCATTTATTTTTTATTCGCTTTCTTCTTTCATTGAAGGCCCTTGGAGTCTGTGTTTTAGTGACTCAGAGATATCTAGATATTTTTGATGGATGATGATATTTTGCAGTTTGCACTGAAATAAAATTGGTATCGACCTACTTTCATTGTAAAAGTGACCAAAGATAGTTTTTATGGGTTTTGCCGTGCTATTATAATAATTCAAAAATAAAAAACAATCAAAATCAAGAATACAATTTTGAACACTGGCGGCACTTATGAACTAACGCAGTTTTTTTTATTTCAATATTAATTTGATTTATTAATCCGGGAAATATTGGAATACACTACCATTGGAAGGTACAAATGGTCAACTTGAAAGAAAGAAAGAAACATTTATTATTTCTATAAACAATTTTTTCCTTACACTATTAATTACTGATTTATTTGAAAGATTTTCATGTTTATCCCAAAGTCTGTCGTATGATCATAATATCCGCCTCGGTAAATATTGCATATACAGTCATAACAGGTTTTTCATGATACTAGGATTTGCTTTGCCAATTTTCGACATCTAAATATACTCTCGTACAAGCAATTATCACCTGTGCAACGTTAGAAAATAAACAAACACAAAGGTGAGATTACTACATCACTGTAGACAAAGAATGTTAACGTGTATTATTTAAATACGAGGTTAACAATAACTTTAACAAATGACGGAGTCTGTTAAACTGTGAAAAACTCTACTCAAAGTTATTTATTTGGTATAGCTAACAATTAACTTGAAATGGCTCCAAAAAATTCAAGCTAAGACAATGGACTTGAAAAAATAAATTAGGAGGCATTTCGCGTCAATCAAGAGTCATTTTAACCGACTTAAAAAGGAGGTGATTCTCAATTCGGTTGGGATGTTTTTTACTTGTATTTTTACCTTTAGATATGTACCGCAAACTGTGGCATCTTATACATACGAGTATTACGGTAATAGTGTGCACTTGGCAACAAAATATACCTACACCCGTATTCACAAACGATGCTTGCTTAAGTGAAGCAGCAAATCAAATGCACAGCGTTGAATGCAGCTCTGTGATTGGTTCGTGTGTCACCCTGTACGTCCACACGCACTGTGAGATCTCATAGTAGTCTCACCTGGTAGTTCCCTCTTCTTCTTTTAAAACTTACTTCTCTCATCGCTTCTACTGTTTCTTGGGTCCTTTTTTGTATAATGCTCTTCACCATAATTTAGATCTCCACTCCTTGCCCAAATTTCATTGTAAGTACAAGGTCTCAAATTACTTGCAATCCTTGACGTATGCTGAAACGGAAAACCTGCTTCAACCAATTAGGTAACTTTAATACGGGCAGATGGTTCATTACTAACACACACGCACACTCACTCACATACACCTACATTCTCATACACTCACACTTACATACACCTACACTCACATACACTCTCACTCTCATTACACTCACTCTCACATCACTTACACTTCACCTTTTACACACTCTCTTTCAATACTCGTCTAGTTTTTGTCTAGTTTTAAAATAACTTTAATAAATTCTATGTGCTCCGGCCATTATCGAGAGAGGAGAGTACTGGCGCTCTGTAGTATGAATTAATCTATCTATATAAATAAAAATGAATTGATGTTCGTTAGTCTGATTAAAACTCGAGAACGGCTGGGCCGATTGAGCTGATTTTGGTTTTAAAATGTTTGTCGTAGTCCAGGGTAGGTCTAAACGGTGAGCAAATACGCGCGCGATATTGTTTTTCTGTAACAGACAAAATTCCACGCGAGCGAAGCCGCGGGCGGAAAGCTAGTATGTAATAGAAAGAGAGGTCAATAAGTCAAAATGACTAGCATGCAACTACTCGCGTATAAATTGTAATCACGCACTTATTACAATACATACATGATTAGTCCGTATGCGTACTGGCGATGTATATTTTGGAGGAAGATAATTGACCTAAGTCACTACAAAGTATACGCGAGCAGTACGCAGCGTATGCGTATTGGTCGTGTATAGTTTGGAGGAGCTTAGTAAAAAAAGTCATATCCAAACTATACTCGATTAGTTTCACACCCTTGCGTTCTGGCTATGTATAGAATGGAAAGACGCCGCGGCGTTATGCCCTTTAACACTTCCACCCCTGGAGCATATAGCTCTAGCGACTCCACTCTGGCCGGCCGGTTAAGGCAAGCCAGAGGTGAAAGTCCTGCAGACCCTCTCGGATTCCACTTCGGCAAGCCGAAGACGAGGGTCTTGACCGACTCTCGGGAGCACTCGGATTAACAACTGGCCCCGTGGTGTCGCTACTCACCAACAGCTCGCCACAAAGCTGCCCTGCGGGGCTTTATTATTATTATGTTTTCTTTATTTTTACTCGAAGTCCCTATGGTCTTCGGTTTTAACCAGTAATGTATTATTATAGTAATGTTTGTGAATACGGGCGATAGTCTGTTAAACTGACGACTCTACCTATCACGTAGAATGTAGATGTTACATTTTTTTCACAAACACATCAATCAAACGAGTCTGGTTTAAAGGTATTGTAAACAATTGCGCATCTTTACTTGACCAAAATAGTCGGATTCCAGACTTTTATCATCAACAAAAGAATCATTTTATCTGTGTTAATAAAAAGCTCTATATTTCAATATTACGGGTTTATTTTTCAAAAATAGTTTTTTTTTCTTGTAATAAGGTACAAAACTATTTCTGCCATTGCCAAAAGTTCCTTTAGTACATCGTTCATTCACTATAATTATGACGTAAAACTCAACTATAGAAATAATAAAATAATTAACAAATACTGGCATGTAAGAAACAAATCATATTGTGCTGTCATCTTTAACCTCTATGAGACAAAAAAGGTTTTAAATATTTCAAAATAATTTAACTTACTAAATAATTTAACTACTATCTTACATAAATTGGGTACTCGAATATTAACTTAAACTTACTACTTACTACTTTACTAGACGTTATTAATATTGATGCTCTTTCAATTTCATCCTTGAATTTTTTGCAAACCTAAAAATATGCGGTTTTAATTATTATTTTCTTATTAATATTAGAAAACCCGTTTTGTAGACGCACAAGAGTGGACTGGTGACGATACTCGAGGTCAGCTAGTGACTTTTGACTTCTGTCGAGTTTCAAATAGGCATAAT